CATTTGTAACTTCCGGTTCCGTTCCTCTGCGAGATCAATCGTTGCTGTCGTCATCATCGTCATCATCATCGTCGTCATTTTTTAGTCATCATCATCTTGTAGTCATCATCTTGTAGTCATCATCTTGTAGTCATCTTCATCTTCTAGTTATCATCATCATCATTATCATCATCATCATCATCATGATTCAGTCTTTTATTTTTATTTGCTGTCAACATCATCATTATTATCACTATCATCATCATCTTTTATCATCATCACTATAAGTAGTGGCATTCGTCAAGTTACAAATTGATGAACATGTTGAGGTCGCTCAAAGTTATCCAATGATGATCTCTGAATGACCATCTTCATCATTTTTATCATCCCATAATCATCATCGTCATCATCATCGTCATAACATTACAATCATCACCATCACTTGATCGCCATCATCGTCATCAGCATAATTTGATCATCATCTTCTTCTTCTTCTTCTCCATCATCATCATCAAAATGGCCTCCATCAATTATCAATGTCAAGAGAAATACATTGATGTCAACTTCACCACACTCCTTCTTTTCCTCAGTCATCATCATCATCGTCGTCGTCGTCATCATCATCGTCGTCGTCATCATCCTAGTTACATTTGGTGTTGTCATTATGATAAATCTGATGATGGCATGCAATTGGTGTTTTATTGGGTGATAATATGTTTAGAGATTTGTCTTGCGGTGTAAGAAAAAGGATAGGGAAAGGAAATTAGAGAGAGAGAAAGAGAGAAAGAAAGAGAGAGAGTGAGAGAGAGAGACGGACAGAGACAGAAAGAGGGAGAGAGAGAGAGAGAGAAAGAGAGAGAGACGGATGACAGTAATTAAAATGTTTGATTTATATGAGCGTTAGGTTGAGAGGGTCGAATATATTGATGGTTGTGTTTTAATCGTTGCTGCTGCTAGTGATGATGATGGTGATGAATGACGTCACAAACGATGACGACGATGATGGAGATGTTACAGACGGACGGACAGATGATGATGATGATGAGGATGATGACGTGTTGATGGTGATGCCAGAGATGTTGATAACGTTCATTAAAATGTCTCAGATGATAGATATCATAAATTCAGATAATGATGACGTTGATAACGGTGATGATAGTAATGATATAATAAACTTGGGGACGATGATTGTAACGATTATACTGATGAGACAATGATATTTGTTATGAGATCCATTGCTATATCATGATATCAATTATGAAGATATCAATTTTCAAACCAATATTTATTCAACTTGTATCAATAGTTCTTAAAGATGGTAATGATAATTTGATACTTTTCATGAGGACAACAAAGATTTAAATAACAAAACATTAACAGCTACAACGTATACTGAAACAACACCAACAACAAAAAACATTAACAACAATAATAACAACAACAACATCAACAACAATAATAAAAACAACAACAACTATAACAACAGACACAACATCAGTAACATCAGTAACATCAACATCAACAACAACATCAACAACAACATCAACAACAACATCAACAACAACAACACATCAATAACGCACACATCAACGTTCCTTCAAAATCAATCCTGTATCCAAATATAGACTCTTGAATGTCAGACCATCATAATGAGAAAACCAGTAGAAAGCCGTTATGTGTGTATGTATGTGTATGTGTGTGTGTATATGTGTGTGTGTGTGTTATTGGTGAGTTGTATTTGTGTGTGTGCGTATGATGTGTGTATGTGTGCGAAGTTTGATATGTTTATTTGAAAAATATTTGATGACCCGTACATATGTGAACGGTTCATCCTTCCTTTGATGTTGTTGACTTGTTTACGTCATGCGGACATGTTTCTATTGATGACGTCATTCAACTCGTTGTTTGTACACTTGTGGTTGGCGATGATGTTGAGTGGGGTCGTATCTAAAAAGGAAGTTGTGGTTTAGGGACTAACATCCCCCTAAATAATTTTAACTTTTAATAAGTGTACGTACACCATGTTACAAATGTATCAAATAAACCTGAAAAGCGGTTGCGCTGATGATATTTGTAATGTTGCGATAGAGACCATGACGATGCTAGGATGATGATACTGATATGCTAATGATACAAATGATACTAATGATGATGTTAAGGTGATGATACATGATACGTGTCTTGACGATATCGATATCTCTGTGGTCGTCACGTATATCATTTGAAAGATAGCTGGCGAGTACGCTGACTTATCACAACAGTCATTCATTCACCGCGTTATGTGATGCGTGATTTGTTGTTGTTTCACATGTGTTGTGCTGTGCCATGATGTGTTTGTCAACATTTTTGAGCGGGTAATTTTGTTGTTGTAATGGTAATGGGGATGTTGTTGTAGTCATGATGATGATGATGACGATGATGATGTAGTGATGATGATGATGTAATGATGACGATGGTATTATATGATGATGTGATATTGTTTATGAGTTTGTAAAATATTGCTAAGATATTGACTTTTATTGATAGTTTTATAGATAATGATGAAAAATAATAATAATATAATAATAATAATATAATATAAAAATAATGATAATAATAATGACAATAATAAAAATAATAATAATAATATTAGAAATAATAATAATGTCTCCAAAATTTTGACAACCACCATCATCACCTCATTCCAATGTGAAATTTTGTTAACTTTTTTCTCTCAAACCCATCCACGCACACACACACACAGCTGGAAGTATCCGGACCAAGATCATCATCATCATCGTCAGCGGCTGCAACGCACCTCGCTTCGTCGTCGTCGTCGTCATCGTCGTCAACAACGACACACGAAACGCAACACTTACAACATCACTTCCAACAACAGCCACAACAGCTACCGCAACAGCAACCACAACAGCCACAACATTGTTTGGTTCTCGTCGCTGATGATTGCAACAGTTCTGATAGTGGCAGAGGGCAGAGTGTTATTGACTGTAGCCAGCAACAACAACATTATCTGCAACAACAACAACAAAAACAACTGCAGTCAACAAATCAAAACTTACAACTTAATTTTAGCACCTTTCCAACTCATCAGCAACACCAACAGCATTTTAGACAACAACAACAACAACAACAGCAGCAACTGCAACATTTTATTTTTCCAACAGACATCTGCCAACTACCTCAACACAGCCAAAACACCCCACTACAGACATCAACAACGACATCAACAACCAAGAAGACAGCAACACTAACAACGATACAAACAACACCAACAACACAACACTGGTTTTGTGTTTCGCCATCTATTGAACGTTTGGATGATAAAGATTTGTTTGTGGCCGCTTCTAACCAGAAAAACAGCAACAGTTTTCAAAATGGTTTCACTGCTAACCATCACAACAACAACAACAACAACATTATCGTTGTCAACAACAGCATCAACAACATACATAAAATCAACGAAAAAATTGGCAACAATTTCAGCAACAACGTTGATTGTAGAAGGTTTTCAGTTGATTCTGAGTTGAACGACAAACTTTCCAACGACACTCAGTTCTTTCCTGGCAACAATGTTAACGACATCAATAGAATCAATAAAAACAACATCAACAACAACACGCCGGCCGTTAAAAAACTACCAAAATACGACGTCCTCATAGCAGACACGGCAGCGTCAAACAGCTCGACGCAACTCGGCAGAGAGTTGAATGTCGCAAGAAACTTCAACGACATGAGCGTCGACGAGATGACGTGCGACCACAACAAACCGCGTGTCATCGGCAGACGAGACATGAAAAGAAACTCACTAATCTTCGGGAAGGTTTCCAGTGTCAGCGATAACGCTGCGGCTCGAGCGGCTTTCGTTGGCAGCTCTGTTGAAGGCGACGGCTACAGCGTCGACAGTATCTATGGCGGTAGGGAGAGTTGCTTGAGTTTCAATAACAGAAGTGACGTCCAGTTTGTTTCAACTCCGCAACAACGAACTCAGGTTTCCAACAACAACAACAACATTTCCAACATCAACAACAACGACAACATGGCAAGTACACCAGTGACGTCAACAAACACCACCAGCTTTAATAACTCCACCATCAACATCAAAAACAGCAGCAGCAGCAATAACAACAACAACAACAATAACAGCAACAGTAAAACAATCAAACATGTGACATTCAGCAACATCACAACAATCTCCCAATTCCCTCAAATCTACTACGCCCCGTCACGCGACTCCATCAACTACGGCTGCTACAGCCTCAACACGGCCACAGCAGCCGCAGCTGCAGCAGCTGCAACAAACAGCAGTGCCGTCGAAAGTTCTGGCAAGAGCGCCAGCAACGTCAGCAACTACGGAGAGAAGATGAACATTAGAGGAGACGTTTATGAGATCGATAATTACTATAGGAACACCGTCGGAAAGAATCTATTCAACCATCAAAACATTAACCTAAGCCACAGCAATCTAAATATCATTAATAACACTGATGGCTGCAGTAACAACAACAACATCAACAACAACAATAACCACAACAACATCAATAACATCAACAACAACATCAATAATAACACCAGTAACAATAGCAACAACAATAAAATAGCCTATGGCGACTTAACAAACTCCGTTCTTGTCTGATAAGATTTATTTGATTAAAATAAATTTCTTGTGCTGAACATAACTTAAAACACGCCTTTTCACAAATCCAAGATACGGAATGATGTTAACTTTCAGCTAGTCAGTCATTCAATGAGACCTGACATTTATTTTTTTCGGAATTTAATTTTTAACTTTTTAAAATAAATTTTCAGATATTTATGTTATTATCATAATGTTTTCACTAAATGATATTTTAATTTTGATATTTTCAATTTTTAGAAATATTTTCACATTTGAGTTTACATAAGATAACATAAATTTCTAAGTTCAAGTTTGTTGTATAGTGTATTGGTTTGTCCGTTTGCCTGTAGGTGTGTGTGTGTATGTATTGTGTGTGTATCTGTTTGTATGTGTCATTTATTATATA